AGATTTGATCTCTATTATTTTGATTATTATTTATTTTATTTGAGATAATTTATGAAATTATATTTTTTTCAATTTCATTCTTATTCAACTTTTTAATTTGTAAGATTTGTTTCTTATTATTTTAATAAACTTGAAAAAAATAAAAAATTAATAAATTAATAAATTATTTTCCAGCTTATTTTCCATGACATAACTATATACTGGAAAGTGTTTTTCAACTTATTTTTCATTACACTACCATATATCAGAAAATAATTCACTTTCTTAGAATTTATTTTTCTAGAATTTACTTTTTAAAAAAATTACTTTTCAGCAAACAAACATGACTTGAGAAAATAAAGTTGAAACTTTCGGGAAGAGTTGAAATATTGAACAAATTAGTAATGATTATATAGGGGTGCATCTTTTTCTTTTTTTTTTAACATGAATGTTCGATTTAGTTTGCGTATACTTTAACTAATTTTATGGATTAAGAAAATAATGGCTATGCAAGTCTTTAATAATTATGGAGTTTATGAGAGTTTAACTAGTATTTTTTTATAATTCACTTTCTTGAAATTTATTTTTCTGAAATTTACTTTCTAAAAAAAATTATTTTTCAGCAAACAAATATGGCTTGAGAAAATAAAATTGAAACTTTCAGGAAGAGTTGGAATATTGAACAAATTAGTAATGATGATATAAGGGTGCATCTGTTTTTTTTTTTTAACATGAATGTTCGATTTAACTTGTGTATATCTTGACTAATTTTATAAATTTTGAAGTTAATAGCCATGCAAACCTTCAATAATTGTGAGGTTCGTGAGAGTTGAACTAATACACTTAAAAAAAATAAACTTAAAACATGATTATTAAAGTATATCTTTAGAATTGGGGTGCATCTTTTTATTTTAACTCGAAAAGGTAGAAAGAGAGTGCAGTGGATAATTTAATGGTGAAAGTTAAATTAATTGGCTAGTCATCTTTTATTGATTTACTAATATTGTACATTTTATATTTACTATAAGAACCTCCTTTTGTCCCAACAGGCTGGTGTAAAAAAAAAAAAAATACTAGATTAAACCGTTCTATCCTCATCTAATTGAATGGCGACAGGACACCGATTATTACTTCAATCATATTCTGAATCCAGTTTGATCATCATTTTTTGTGGCCGAGAGGTCTAATCTTCAGGATGTCCAACGATAACCGACTTCCATATTGCTCTCTAAATACTCTTGAGTTAATGCACATATAGCAAATTTAGATATACCCCATTGCACGCCACCGCTTGGTCCTTAATTTAGAATTGTGTTGGCCTCGACGAGCTTAATTTACCTTGAAGCATCTACACCAGCATCATAATTTAAATCCTTGTCATTAACCATATAAGATCATACGCACCAAAATTTTTGTTAGACAAAGACCAACTAAGAGACTTCGAAACCACTACTCCCTCTTCGTTTAATTCTCTCTGATATTTTATTTTTGGGAACGAGTTGGACAAAGTAGTTAGAAAAATGGATTCAGAAAGGGAAAAAAAATTGAGAGAGACAATTCTCCATCCACCAGAAGACTAACCGGTTACTTGAAGAAAAACCCATCTCACCAAATCCAATATTAAACAAACAAATTAAAGAAACTGATAGAACCTAGTTTTTCTCTGTCATATCTAGTCAATGCCTCTCTATATTTCCTTGTCTCTCCCTTCTCTTCTCTTACCATTCTACTCATGCAGACATCAAGGAGGAAGTCGCCTCTCCTATCTTCAGTAACCATAGCCATGAAACACAGGAAGAACAACAATCTCTCTGTATTTGTTGTGGTATCGTCTATCTTTATCTTCGGAGTCTTCATGTACAATGAGGACGTGAAGTCAATTGCCGAGTTCCCATTTTCATGGCCTAAATCTCAAGAACTCCAAGAAGAGCCATCAAAAGGAACCGCCCCAGTTCAAGAAACCCTCAAGAAGGACCGAGAACTCCCAGCTTCGGTTGGTTCAAGAACTTCACTGGAAGAACCTCAAGTTGATCAGGAATTTGAAGAGAATCAAGAATCTGATAAATTGAAGTCTAGTGGATCAAAAGAATATGAGGAAAAGATTGAATTGCCAATCATCGAAGAAGATGATGTAGATGTTGAATTGCCACCAGAAGAGTGTGATCTTTTCACGGGACAATGGGTTTTTGACAATGAGACACGTCCTTTGTATAAAGAAGATGAATGTGAGTTCCTTACAGCACAAGTGACTTGCATGAGGAATGGAAGAAAGGATTCTTTGTACCAGAATTGGAAATGGCAACCTAGAGATTGTTCTTTGCCAAAGTAAGTACATATTTCATCAATTCCTGAATTTGCTTTACATGTGTTTTCTTGATTTAAGCTCATCTGTTTGATGGTTTTTATGTCTTCGTCTGTTTAAGGTTCAAGCCAAGGCTACTGCTAAACAAGTTAAGGAATAAGAGGCTTATGTTTGTTGGGGATTCATTGAATAGGAATCAATGGGAATCAATGGTTTGTTTTGTTCAATCTCTAATCCCTCCTGGAAGGAAGAGTCTGAACAAGACTGGATCTTTAGCTGTGTTCAGAATCGAGGTACCTCTCCCCTGCTCCTGTTCTCTATCTGGGGACATCAAACAAATATACGGTGTTATATCATTTTCCATATTCACCTTCACTAAATCTTTTGACAAAATTTATCTAATATTTAAATACCTTTTTACTGCTATTAATGATAATTTATCATGACAATGAATCCATTAATTCATACTTGTTTCATGAAAAATAATTTTTAAATTTTTTCTGTTGTTTTTTACTATTAAAAAATTAATCAATAAAAAATATTATTTTTCACTAAAAAATCTGATTTGATTTTTAAAAAAATATAATTTTATTTTTGGTTAAAAATATTTTTTAAAAGTTGCAAAAAATTCAAAAATATCTTGTTATTTATTGATTATATCAAATTTGATTCTTAATTTTTTAATTGCAATGTATTTTATTTTTATTCTTTTAATTTCAACTCTTATTAGAATTTGATTTTATTTAATTTTTATATCAATTTGGTTTTCATTCTTTTAATTGTTATTTTTTTATCTTTTATATTTTTTGATTAATTTTTTTATCTATTATTTTTTATCTTATTTTTATTGCTATTTATTTTATTTGAAATAATTTATGAATTTTTTTAATTTCATCATCTTTTAATTTTTTTAGATTTGTTCTTAATTTTTTTTATTACTATTTGTTTTATTCAAAATAATTTATAAAATAATTTTTTTAATTTATATTTATTTAGATTTTTTATCACTTAAATTTAGTTTTATTTTTTGTATAGTTATTTTTTATTTGAAATAATTTATAAAATTAGATTTTATTTTTAATTTCATAATATTTCAACTTTTTTATTTATCAAATTTAACTTCTAATCTTTTTTATATTTTTTATAAAAATATTGATAAGTTATTTTTAGTTTATTTTTTATATTATAGTAATATACTGAAAGTGTTTTATAATTTATTTTTTAATATTCTACTAAATATTTAAAACAATTTACTGTTTAGAATTTTTTTTTTTTTTTTTTAAAATAGAAGCGCTCATGATGCATGCTTTCCTATAAAGATATCGAAGATACCAAAGAACGTGTAAAAGTGAAGATACTGCCAGTTGGCAGCGGAAGTTTTCAGCTTGCTATCATATCAAGAAAGTAAATTTGCAACGCTTTTAAAAGTCTCGTGTCTGTATTTCTAGGTGACTTGAAAATGATAGCGTCTCAAAGCTCCCTGGTTTAACAACAATTAATTTTAAGAAAATGATCATATTTTTTTTTTAAAAAAATTAATCTTGATATAACAATTTAATCTTTTGTTATCAATATTTCGAGTAAAACTGCCTGTTGGACATCTTTATATACTTCTCATGTTTGTCAAATTCAACTTTGGGATGATTGTTACAAATAACGTCTGTAACTCGATCCTTCCTTCCTATGACAGTACTATACTCGTAATGTTTTGATGTTTTTGTTCTTGCCTCCTTCTCCGTAGGACTATAATGCAACAGTGGAGTTCTATTGGGCCCCGTTTTTGGTTGAGTCAAACTCCGACGATCCAAACATGCATAGCATCTTGAACAGAATAATCATGCCTGAATCAATTGATAAGCATGGTGTCAACTGGAAGAATGTCGACTACCTGATTTTTAACACATACATCTGGTGGATGAACACTTTCAGCATGAAAGTTCTGTAAGTTTATGTCCTTATAGATCTTGCTTTGATGATTTAGTGTTTCAACTCAAAATCATACACGGGGTTGATTTGTTATTTAATGATATTGGGACAGACGTGGATCGTTTGATGAAGGGTCCACCGAGTATGACGAGATCGAACGGCCAGTAGCATACAGGAGAGTTCTAAATACATGGTCTAAGTGGGTGGAGAGAAATGTGGATCCCAATCGCACCACCGTCTTCTTCAGTAGCATGTCTCCTCTTCATATCAAGTAATGCTCATATCTGAATCTTTGTTACAAACTAATTTTATTGCCGTCCGTCTTTTCTTGACATTACTGTTGATTTCGAGGACAAGAAACAAAAGGACTGATAACTCTCAAAT